GGGGCACAGACGTCACCAGCGCTGCTGTGACCTTGGGGATGGCGATTGTCACCTTCCCGCACCCTGCCACCCCCCGTGGGGACCCTCAGGGACCCCCCCTGGGGACGGCCACCCCCCGGGTCCCCAGCCTTGGTGACCCCCGTGTCACTCGTGGGGACAAGGGGACAAGGCATGGGGCTCGGGCTGTGCCACCCTGCCGGCTGTCACCACCTGCCACCATGTCCCCTGCCGGTGACCCCCGTGTCCCCAGGGCCACCCCATGGGTGACAGGGTGGCCTCAGGGACCCCCGGGACTGTCACCCCTCGGTGCTGCTGCCCCTCGGAATGGGGATGGGGGACGACACCGGGGGGGCTCAGGAGGGGACCGCCCCCACTTTGGGGACACACGGCCACCCACCTGTGGGAGCGACGCGTGAGCGCACGTGGGGACACACGTGTGACACCCCCAGAGTGTCACCCCCCCTGCACCCCCGTGTCCCCCGGCACCCTCAGGTGTGTCACACGCGTGTGCCACGCGGCCACCTTGCCCCGCCGTGTCCCACACGTGTCCCCACGCGTGTCCCCACGCACGTGGTGCCCCCCGGGCCGCCCCCGCCCCACGGGGACCCCTGGGGGGGTCTGGGGGGGGCTGAGGACCCCCGGGGGGCTGGGGACACCCCTGGGGACTCACCTCGGTTCTAGGTGACTGGGTTTTGGGGACCCTCCTGTGTTTTGGGGACCCACCTGATGCTGGGGACAGTCCCTGGGTTTTGGGGACCGCTCTGCTCTCAGCTCACCTCCCCACACTCTCACATCCCCCCCCGAGCTCTGTCCCCACCGTGTCCCCACCGTGCCCTCCTCGGTGTGTCCCTGTGTCCCCTCCGTGCCCTCCTCGGTGTGTCCCTGTGTCCCCTCCGTGCCCTCCTCGGTGTGTCCCTGTGTCCCCTCTATGCCCTGCTCGGTGTGTCCCTGTCCCCCCGCTCTGTGCCCTGCTCGCTGTGTCCCTGTCCCCCCCCGCGCCCCCCTCGCCGTGTCCCCATCCCGTGTCCCCTTGTCACCTCTCCACGAAGATGCCGGCCTGCACGGCGTGCACGATGCTGCGGAATTTGGGTTTTTCCTCGGCGCGGCGCCCCTTGGCCCGCGCCTGCTGCGTGAACGTGGCCGCCAGCCAGTCGCGCACCTCCGAGGGCACGGCCGCGTCCGAGCCCATGTCCCGCAGCTCGTCCTCCGTGTCCAGCACCTGCCTGGGGGCACGGCGACATTCAGCGGGCTGCTGTCCCCACCACGAAGTGGGGGTGTCCCCTCGGTGTCCCCTCCCCACCTGGTCTCGTCGATGCACACGGCCTCGAGCAGCGAGGCCGCGTACTCCAGGTTGCGCTTCAGCTCCTCCACGCTCACCTCGCCCGCCTCCAGCTGCTTCACCAGGAAACGGAGCCTGGGGGGCACCGGGGGGGACACCCGGGGGGGACAGGGGGTTAGGGACACCCGGGGACAGAGGGGACAGGAGGGACAGGGTGTCAGAAATCCCCGGGGACAGGGTGGCATTGACCCCCAGGGAAAGCCCCGGGTGGGGGGGACAGGGTGTTAGAGACCCCCGGGGACAGAGGGGACAGGGTGGCACTGACCCCCAAGGACAGAGGGGACAGGAGGGACAGGGTGTCAGAGACCCCAAGGGACAGCCCCGGTGGGGGATGGGCGGGGACAGGGTGTTAGAGACCCCCGGGGACAAAGGGGACAGGAGGGACAGGGTCTTAGAGATCCCTGGGGACAGGGGGGACACCCGACAGGAGGGGGATAGGGTGTTAGAGACCCCCAGGGACAGCCCCGGGGGGGGACAGAGTGGCATTGACCCCCCCAGGAGAGCAGGGACAGCCCCCAGGACAGGGACAGGGGGTCACAGCCCCCCAGGTTGGGGACAGGGGAGGTCACAGGAAGGGGACAGGGGAATTGGGGGATTCCCTTCTGGGGAGTGCCACCCCCATGGCACCGGTGGCACCATGACATGGGGTGGCACATGTGGCATGGGGTGATACAGGTGGCATAGGGTGGCACAGGTGGCATAGGGTGGCACATGTGGAATGGGGTGATACAGGTGGCATAGGGTGGCACAGGTGGCATGGGGTGATACAGGTGGCACAGGTGGCACAGGGGGGGACCCAGGGGGGTGACAGCGTGGGGACACGGGCGCTGCCATCCTGCCCACGCTCGTGCCAGCACAAGGACACCCGTGTGGCCGCCGCGGTCACCGGAGCCACGCGGTGGGGAGGGGCCACCACGTCCCCCGGTCACGGCGACAGTGACGGTGACAGCGAGGGGGGCCGGGGGGAGCGGGGGGGNGCCGCCCCCGCCCCACGGGGACCCCCCCGCCCCCCCCCCAAGCGCCGCACGTGCCGCAGGTGGGCGCGGGGACACGTGAGCTCCCGCGCCACAGGTGAGGGGGTGGCACCCCCCGGCAGCCCCCCCGAGGCCACCCGCGACACGGAGGTGGCACCTGCGGCACCTGCGCTGTCCCCACAGGGCTGGGGACACCCCGGGCCCTCTGTCACCCCGCGGTGACACCCCCAGAGTGCCACACCGGGGGGAGGGAGACCCCCAGCTCTGTCCCCAAGGGGGTCCCAAAGGAGGCTTGGGGACACTCCGAGGGTCCTTGGGGACAGCTGAAGGTCCCAGGGGGTCTTTTTGGGGTGGGGGTGCTGGGGGGTCTTAGAGGGGGAATGGGGTCCCCAGAGGGGGGGAGTCAGGGGTTGGTTGGGGTGGGATCCTCAGATGGGTCAGGGGTCTCAGAGTGGGGGGTCTCGGTTTAGGGTTTGGGGGTCCCAGTTTGGAGTTTGAGGGTCGTGGTTTGGGGGTCGCAGTTTGGGTCTGAAGGGTCGTGGTTTGGGGGTCCTCGTTTGTGGTTTAAGGGTCCCAGTTTGGGGTTTGGGGTTTCAGGGGTCCCGGTTTGGGGGTCACAGTTTGGGATTTGGAGGTCCCAGTTTGGGGTTTGAGGGGTCCCGGTTTGGGGTTTGAGGGGTCCCGGTTTGGGGGTCCCAGTTTGGGGTTTGGCTGTCCCGTTTTGGGGGTGTCTCACTTTTGGGGGGTCTCTCTCTTTGGGGGGGTCTCTCTCTTTGAGGGTGTCTCTCTTTGGGTGTCCCCCCGGGGCTCTCTTTGGGGCGGGGGTCCCGCGGCCGGGGGGGTCACTCACAGCGCCCGCAGCTTGACCCAGACCTTCCTGCCGGGCACGGCCTTGGCGTCCAGCGGGGACGGGCACCCTCCGGCCGCGTCCAGCGCGCCGCGCTCCCGCTCCAGCCCCGGGAGGCTCCGCGGCGGCTCCATCGCCCCTGGGCACCGGCGGCGCGGCTCAGCCCGGCCCGGCCCCCGCTCCCTCCGCTAGCCCCCGCTCCTTCCCGGAGCCCCCCGCTCCTTCCCGGAGCCCCCCTGTCCCTCCGGTAGCCCCCCGGTCCCTCTGCTAGCCCCCGGTCCCTCCGGTAGTCCCCGGTCCCTCCCGGTCCCTCCCGGAGCCCCCCGTCCCTCCCGCGGCCCCGGTTCCCGGCTCCTCCCGTAACCCTGGAGCCCCCGCGGCTCCCCCGGCCCCGGTTCCCGGCGGCGCGTCCCTCCCGGTCCCTCCCGGAGCCCCCCGTCCCTCCCGCGGCCCCGGTTCCCGGCTCCTCCCGTAACCCTGGAGCCCCCGCGGCTCCCCCGGCCCCGGTTCCCGGCGGCGCCGGTGCCTCCTGCGGCCCCCGGTAGCGGCCGCAGCCCCGGCGGCCGCCCCCCCGCCCCGGCCTCCCCCCGCCCCCCGGTAGCCGGCGGCTGCGCAGGCAGCAACGGAGCCAAGATGGATC